GGGCTGGGAGACTCCTTTTTCCTTCTGGAAGGAAAAATCAAACCACAGCTTTTTAAACAAGGCTGGAACCAAACTGAAATCTGTAGCTGAACTCTGAAACTTGCGAGACTCTGCAGGGAAGATAGCAAGCTTATCTCAGTTAAGAAGGATTTTGCAATATCAGGAACATATAAAGATTATCTACCAAGCCAATGCCAAAAAAAAAGTGGTAATCTCTGGGAAGAGGCAGTTCCCAGGGTTCCTCTCAAAGACTTCAGCAGTCCGGGGCAAACACTGCGTTTGCTGGTAACACTGCAAAAGTGCCTATGACCTATCTATTTCCATGAAACCTTTTCTTTCCCAAGCTCCTGTCCATCTCTGTTATTGTTCTTAGCAGCTGAGATTTTGGATGTGGACTTGATACTCATTGATCAGGATCAATTTAGTAGCTTTTCAGGAATTCATTTCATTGACCCGGTAGCCAATTTGCTGCTTAGAAAACTTGAAAAGGGAAGTGCACAAAGAAGCAGCAAGACCATGAAGTTCTCTTGAATGAGAATGTGATTCTCTTGAATGAGAGATGTGGTGCCTCTTCAGTCTTGAAGACAAAACTTGTGTCTTTTAAATATGTGCACATCAGTGATGAAATTAAAGAAATGCACAGAAGTATCAAAACAAACTTTTCTGCAAATCTAGAAACACATATTTCAATAACTCGATCCATGTGTCTCTTTTTTATTTTTTTTTCCTTTTCTCAACATTTTTATAGTAACATTACCTAGAATAGGAAATTAGCTTTTGCACTGTGTTATTACTGAAGTCACAGAGTTAATATAACAGTTTAAGGCCACCTATTGAAAGCTGTTCTACCTCAATAGCAATGGTAACCTCATTGTTTGTATATTCCCTCTATTGATTCCGTTAACTAGTGGGTACTGTGTATATACCTAATCATCCAAGTAAATTAACAAATTCAAAGGCTGACCCAGTGAGGGCTGCTTTTTTTTTTTTTTCTCCTTCGGACATGACAAACCAAGCATTTTCTGCTGGGGAGGGGTATTTAGTTCATTATTTCTTCCAGTTCTTGGTAAGTTGCTTTCAATTCCTGGTAAGATGCCACAAATAGTATAGAGAAGGGCCTTTCCCCAGGAAGAGAGACGTATGAGTAACAGGGTCCCAGGCATCACTTTTCTTATTTCCCCAGGCCAAATTTGTGAGACAGCAAGTCTCTGGCATTTTTTGCTGTGGTTGCCACTGGGAAAATAGTCTTCCTTTTCTTGTCAGCTTGTGTGTGTATCCTTAACTGTTGTTAACAAATATGCCCCGAATGGCAAATATAGCTGTAATTAGCAAACCCCTCTAGTCATGCCCAGACTTGCTGTGTGTTATACACCTGATCCATAAAGGCACAAGTCCGCGGTTCGCACCTCCTCTCCAGGGACATCCACACGTCCCAAGCGAAAACATGAGCCATGAGCTGTGGCAGACTCAGCAGCTGAGCAGCAGGAGAGCCCTGACTGCTGTCGGAGCCATTGAACGATTCCACGGAGAATCCGCTTCTATCTCCTTCCCGTTCACGGATGCTGGCCATCCTGCAGGACAGAGCCATCGGTTTTAGTCAGAAGCCACCAGACTGACAATGCTTCGCACTGATTAACTTTCCAGGGCCTGTAGATCAGTGCTCATCAGCTGATACTTTGCTTTGGCTAATACTTGCAAATAATAAAGGACTCAACTTGTAAGAGAAAAACAGCAAAAAAATCAAGGATCTCTTTCCCAAAATCTGAGGTACGGATTGGAAGAGTGGAAAGGATTTCCAAAGCTTTCCTGAACATCAGTGTACATTTTAATCTGAACTTCCAACACATGTTTTAGCATTGGTAGTCAACAAGAGCAACAGTAGAGCAAGACTTTGGCTTTGGTTGCCAAACACTCACAGATAAAGGGTTTCACTGGAACATGAACGGCTTCATCTGCTTCTCAGCTCCTGCATGAGGAAGGGCCTTAGCACATGGATCAGCCTCCAGATTCATAAAATCTGGAACTTGATTTCCAGCCTAGGATAATGATCCAAGCCAGCATCATGGTAACTCATGTGATATAGCAGACCTGTCTCGAACAGGAACATCTCTTGATTTGTTTATGTGTGTTCATTTGAAAATCAGCCACAGAAGCCAAATTTGTGCAAACTTCCCCTTCCTCCCTTCCTTCTCTCCATCCACTGCACTCAACTCAAGAGGGCCCAGACTCCCCACTTTATGTCTCATGTTCTCCCCACCTCCCTCTTCACAGGGACATCCGAAAGCAAACATCGCCTAATTTCTAAATTTCTCCCCAGCCCTCCTCAGCCCCAGAAGGTCTCTGACATCAACAAAAGCAGCTTTTTATTTGTTTGCATGGTGTCAAGCCTCCCGAGTGGCTGTAAGCAGCTATGAGGTTGATGCTGTCAGAAGCCATTCAGCATCTCTGCTAACGGAGCAGCAGCATCTCTGTCATCAGGTTCCCAACCAAGATGCCCTCTGAGAACCCAGTAACATACAGATTAATATATGTGACTGGGAATACAAGCAAAGATGCATTTTATGTAAATTCAGTCAAGCATTCCTCAGAATTAATTGCTCTGGGTGATTAGGAGACCTCAAGAGCCACGATACCCGGCAACTTTTTCCCCTGTGTTTTGGCAGGCATGAGCTGATTGTCCGAATTTAGCATATCTCTACATATGTCAGCTAGAGACTAAAATTATTTCAGTGATGGAAAATCCATGGTTGTGTGGAATGGGCTTTCCATTTGATAGTGTGGTAATATGGTGTAGGTGTAAATTAAGGTGCTTGAAAATTGACAGCGAGCCCGACAATAGCACCCAAGCTGAGGAACTACTTATCCCACCTCTGCCAGAAACTTCTCCCACCTTCCCTTCCCCTCTCCTGCCTTGTACAAATAAAGTGGACATTCTGTTTGTCAACTCTAAATAAAGTAATAAATGAAATAAAAAGAAATAAATAAACAGAAAATAACAGTTTATGACAGTCTACTTGAGCAGGGGAAAAGTCTTCTCTGCCAGTCTAATCTGGCCCCATGCAGCACTTTTTAAACTGACTTTTTCACTTAAAAATATTTCCCATATGTTCGACATATTGCTATGCATAATGATGGAACACAGGGAAAAAAATGTGTGTTTACATGCAAAACATACCCCTAGATGTATATTTATACTGAGAGAGAGAAAAATATATTATGTATGTTATGTATAACTTGACACTTCCAACATTTTATGTAAATAAGTACCAAATGGATGGAGAATATTGTATAATACATTAATAGGCTATACTGCTTCATTTCTATTTTTCAAATCTGGCTGTGATTGCATATAAGTACCTCAAACAGTAAACATCTGGATGGCTTGAAAGCAAGTGAAGCATGTTTTTGTTTAAGACATGTAAGAATTCTTGGCTCACAACAGCCCAAGAGACAACTTATAATAAATACAGTTTTGCAGTGTGGACAAAGCCTTAAAATATTCATATTTAAACTCTAACAAGCTCTTTTATAATTAGGATTTATTTTAACAGGCGTATGTGTTAAGATTATATCCTTGGAGATTTTCCAAGTAACTACACTGTAGCAGCTAGAGCCTTTGTCCAACTTAAATGTCTGACAGTTTATAAAACTGCATGACAGTTTTCCGCCTCTCACCTCCAGATTTGGGACAGTTCATCTCCGATTTTCTTTTGTTTCTGGCTTTCAAAGTGCAGTTTTCTGAAGAAATGAATATACTCATAATTCAGTTTGTCCACCTACCCACCCAGCTACCTGCCTCAGCTAGCCCAATTGCTAGAAGGAACATATAAAGCAAGTTCATAGCTTGATGCTGGAGTGATATAATCTTGGCTTAAACTGTTTAGTGTTTAAAAATGTAAATTTTAGTGCCTATCATCTCAGACACCAGAGCCCATCTCTAACATAGCTTGTCTGCTTGAATGTCACACAAAGGAGTAATTGTACCCTGTTTGGAGACTGAAACCCTTGCAAAGTGTCTGAAGCTTGCAAACTTTAAAACATAGTTTACGTCTGCTAGGACCAAAGTCTTGTAATTGTATCTCAAACATTTGGGTTTTGAAGTTGTTAAGATCCCTAGGGCATTTTATGTGTTGTAACAATATCATTAAATATGTTGTATCATGCTAGAGGAGCAATTTGTGCCTCCTTTTCCTGTTGTTTTTCTTTCCTTTAGAAAGAAATTCAGCGCAAGAATATGTAACATTAGCTGTTATTCAAAATTATTCATAGAATTGTATTTAAAGAAATGAAATAAATTAGCGGGTATGTTTATAACATAGAGATCGCGCCCTTTATTTTCCGCAGTCAGTGTAACAGCCCTTAAAAATAGCTTGGCTTCTAGTTTCAGTTTAAACTCCTCTGTGTACAATTTGTTTAGCAAAAACAAAAGCAGCCACCCCGGCCTGCTGAAGGCAGCTCTGGGTATGCGAAGCCACTTGGCAGGTGTCCCTGGCGCTGCTTCTGGCTGCTCCAAATAAACTTTTACTAGATAAATCTGATATAGGGAGCTCGAGCACCACGGACTCAGGCCGGGCTGTGCTTCCGATCCCTGGCCCTCTCATATTCAGCAGTCAACAAGGCCAGCCTGAAGAAATGCCAGAGTTCAGATCTCCCTCTTTATCTCCAATCTAGTTTGACCAGGGTTGCGAGATCAGGCTCTGCTCTGCAACCGTTTTCTCCCAAAGAGAGGAAGGAGATGTGCAGCAAGGTGCATAGCCTCTGCGTGTGTGTGTACGTGTGTGTGTGTGTGCATGTGTGCACACACCTGTGTGTGTGTGTGTGTGCACGAGCACGTCTCTTCCCTGCTTGGTTTAGCCCTCATAACTCCAGGCATCCTGCCCACGCAACCTTTGTTCTCGCTACAGGCCCTTGTGTTCTTATTTTGGCAACACATGCAAATATTTACTGATGTTTGTAAACAATTACTGCTTCTCTCTTTTCAGGTAAAATACCAAGAGAATATGGCTCACCTGGGTGAAAGTAAATGGACTCACATGTTTCCTTTTTTGGTGGTAGGTATTTACATTAAGGAGAGATATCTAGCATGCAAAGATAAGCGGACTCTGTTTTAATGTTTATGAAATATCATAGCATGTCTACAGCTGATTCAGACCTGAAGAGCAATGCAGGGATCCACATTCATTCAGCATGAGACTGAAGCATGTACTTTAGCATGTACTTGAGCGTATGTCTAAATCAGCATTTCCAAAATTGTATTGGAATTGGAATGTGTAATGGCACCCTCTGTCCTGCCGCGGCCTCTGGGCACCTGGTGAGGAGCCGCTCACTGGTGGCCCTGATGCTGGGGCTCACATCCTGCCTAGCATCATGCTGTCCTCGTGTGGGTTGCATTTCTGATCTTTAGGGATGCTCTGCGTGGATGCGGCAGCCTTGTGTCTCCTGTGGTGCCACTGCCTGCAGAAGGGAGAGGCTGGGCATGGGAGCAGAGGCGATGCGAGTAACAGGGCTCTGTGACGCTCTCTGCCAACAGGTTTCCCTCGTGTACTCGGCGAGTGCGGAGTACTCCAACTGCGGTGAGAACGAGTACTACAACCAGACCACCGGCATGTGCCATGACTGCCCCAAGTGCGAGCCAGGCGAGGAGCCTTACATGGTAATTGCGGAGCCTTCTGCTCAGCAGAGGACTAAAGTGCCAACAAGGAGATCTGGGAGATGACAGCATGCAGCCTGGTGACCTGGGCCACCGCAGAGCACAGCTGCGTCCGTCACACAAAACAGCTCCAAAGTTCAGCCACCCAGCAAGTGATTTTAGGAGGAAAACACACAATTAGCCCTTTAAAGAGAAAAGAAAGAAAAAACAAAGAAAAAGATGGGTTACATGGTGTAGTATTTAATGTAGTGTTAACATTAATATGAGAGAAAGCGGAGAATGAAACCGATGCTCCTCCAGTGTGTGTGGCCTCCCTGACGCAGCAACACTCCCGTGTCCCAGGGTGTTGCTAGAGCAGGGTGCCACATACTGCGGTATCCCAAAACACTACCCTAGGCACAGTCCCTTAAAAGCAGTGTTTTTAAAGTCCTCATGTAAAAGTTTCACACACAGTCTCTGCCAGTATGTTTTCAACTCAAAAGTTATTTAAAATCTGACCCTGCCAGTTCAGCATTGTGCGATAAATAGGTTAGTTTGGCGTGCTCACTGGGCCGCCACACGGAGAGCTTAATTTTGCTCTCCCGCTAAGATATTTTGGCACTAGAGAAATTTGGAAGCTTCTGCAACGTTTTAAATTACGTTTCCCAAGTAACCATTTGATTTATAGCAGATAATTGTTGCATATTAAAGAATAAATTACTGAAATCCTGTTTGGTTTTAATAGGATAAACATCCCATTGCAAGAATTTCACACAGTTGGTAGTCCTGAGCATGTATATTTGAATAATAACCAGTTGGTGTCGGTTGTATTCAGTCTAAACCTAATGTTCATTGGGGAAATGTGATTTCAGGGACTACCAAGGCCCATGTAAACACTGTGTTTTGTGAGGTTGCTTGTGGCCTCTTCCATCTTCAAAACAACATCACAGACATCCCTACTGGAACACGTTTTACTCCATTATTTTCTTTTCCTCTAGTTTTCAGTCTACTTTCTATCAACGCAGTAGCTGAAATTCACTTCCAAGACTTGCTGGAATATGATTTAAATAGTCACAAGGGGTCCCTTTCAAGGGACATGTTTCCTCTCTAGGATGCAGCATGCATCCTTGTGGGTCCACACCCCACATGCATGCTGCATCCTTGTGGGTCCATAGCCTTTTCAGTGTAGGCACCAGGGGACCAAGCAAGGAACTTGGTTCTTTTGGTGTTACGTGGCCCACAAAGCCATTGGGCCTGTCTAGGAATATTCTCTGTTCCTAGAAGATTACAATGCAAGCCTTTTTTTAAATGACTTCATGTTGTTGCAGACATGTGGCTATGGCACCAAGGATGAGGACTATGGATGCATTCCTTGCCCTTCTGAAAAGTTTTCCAAAGGGGGTTACCAGATATGCAGGCGTCACAAAGACTGCGAGGGATTTTTCCGAGCCACCGTCATGACACCCGGCGATCAGGAGAATGATGCAGAGTGTGGGCCTTGTCTACCCGGGTAAGGACTTAGCCATAGACCTTTACACTGCAGTACATTTTACTCCTCATGATACTGCAAGTCTTTTTTAAAATCTAAAATGTCTGATACCCTCTCTTCATGTCCTAACTGATTTTAATTGCAGTATTGGTGAAATATGTTTTTCAGTTCAGTTTCTCCTAAAACAATAATTTCCAATATTTGGAAAGTGTTGGTGAGTTTATTAAATCAGAACAGGCCATTAATCTTACTGAAATCTCACTGACTGAAGAAATAGGTGTTGGGAATAAACTGGAAAAAAACAAATTCTCCTACCAGAAACAGAACATAGTATTTCACGTACCTAAGCATAGGTAACCAGTGCCGTTTTAGATGCCCTATGGAATCCATCTTTGCCTCTAGCTGCTACTACGAAAGGACTTTTCTTAAGTCCTGTAACATGTAGGCCAGTTCCATGAAGATGTCTTGGATATTCTATAATATCTACGCTGGCTCTGGATGTTTATGTTTAGGAACATTAAATGAGTCTTCTTTAAAGGTGACAAGCTAGCAAATTTGTCAATAGTTGGCAGCATTAACTAGCATTTCTGTTTGGGGAGATTCACCAAGGCAACCTTCATCTCTCAAGGCCCTTTTTAGACAACAGAGAGAAGGGTCTAAGTAGCTACTAATGTGACACATGCTGCTATTATAAAAATAAGTTCTGCTACTCATCGAAGGGGCTATAGTAGGTGCTATTTATTCAGTCTACCTTTTTAATGATCTGCTGTGCTCTGTATGATCCAATAGTAATAGTGAGAAAGCAATTGCCACACTGAATATCTTAGCAATATATTCTTGGCTATATTACCTTCTAATGTCTCCAAACTCAAACATGCATTTGCTTTCTCAAGATTCTTCTTGTTGGGTAAGTAAATACTCTAAAACAAAATCTCACTTTATTTACCTTTCTCATTTCTACACGTGTGCCTCTTTGGCTTAGATGGGTAACTCCCAACAGGCGTTTGGCTTTTGTGCAGAGTTTGTGGACACAGTATAACCCACACTACTTATAGTACAGGAAACTGTTAAAAAAGCACTGTAAGGTTTCAAGTTTATTGAATCAGTGAGTGAGTTCATGAGAATTTTTCAGTTTACAAATAAAAAGAATGACTTGTCCAGCTGCCAGTCAGTGATGTGATTTGAAAAGAACTCCCTCTTGACTTCCCTTCACACATCATTAGGAGCACAAAAGTTAAATAGTGGCCACAGTTGCCATTTTGCAATTTCATGAGGACTAATGAGGTCGCCCTAGAGAGAGTGGGGTGCCAGCTGAAAGCAGTGAGATTGCACAGCTGGTACTTAAGGAGTAATCTGAGAGCACCATGTTTGCACAGGTGTAACCCCTAGCAGACATTGGCCTGCCTGAGTCTGGCTGTAGGTCTCTGGTTGGGAATTTCAGGTTTGGGGTTAGCTTGTCCAGGCCAGCAATTTAGGTGAAAAACCTGCTTACAATGGACTTGAGGAGTTGAAATTATCAAGATAAATTCAATATTGTGTGAGGCACACCCTGAGCCCTTCCTGACTCCCTGAGCGGCACAGAGAAGCCCTGGTGTTGCTCCTGTGCAACAGTGGGAAAGCTCTGAGCTCCTGTGCCAGACCGGGTGTGCTGATGGGCCACGCCAGCCAGCCATGCTGTCTCATTGCCACCCTCTGGGGACAGACAGATGCCTGGCAAGTGGCAGCCAACAGAGCGCTCCCTTCCCTAGGTGATAACGCTCAAAGGGTACCCAAATTAATGTGACCAAAAAAACAATGTCTCCATTTTCAGAGGACTGTGCTTGAGTAACACCCTGAAGATATTTCCAAAGTAACTTCCCAAGTGCTGTAATCCATACTTAAGGGCATCTTCTCCCATAACTATTTCTATAGACTCACCTGCTTAGTAAAACATCCTTAGAAAAGTTCAGTGGGTGACATATTATGGCCAAAGGTTTTTAGACAAAACACCACCAAATTACCAGTCCTTTCCCAACTGGTGCAGGTGTCTCTATCATTTGCCTTTAAAAAGACAGTGGATAATTATATAATTTTCCTTCTATTCTTACAATATTTCTGATGCCCATCCTTGGGGAACAGAGAGAGCTCTGGGATGAGAGCAGTGATCATCCATTGCTTTTTTATGTGCATGTTCCCTTCCACATGAAACAGGAATAACGCTCTTTGTCAAGCTCACAAAATGTTGTCAGACTGAGACCAGGGCAGAAATTAAGTGCTTAGCACCAAACTGTGATCCTCAAAATGAAAGCTCAGCTGCCATGGATCTAGGGAGGCAACTACCCTCCTGGGATATGGCAGGGTTTATCCTGGTCCACCCCCCTCAAAGGCCTGCTCCTGACCAGAGGCTCTTCAATCATGCTAATAAGTCAGGATAAGTCAAGAGTGCAGGAATTGAGTGCAATTCAGGCCGTTTCCCTCAATGAGTTTTTCCATTAGCATTGCCTAGTCAGAGCACACCTGAGATCGTAACCACCTGAGAGTGGCTACAGTGGTTCAGAGCAAGGGTCCCTCTAACCCACTCCTCTGTTCTCAGCAGTGGCCATAGTGGACTTCCATTAAGAGCAAGGACAGAGCAAACGTTGAAGACACATCACCCTAATACTGCCCCAGCATCTTACTGCTTTTCCCTGTGAGCAACAGACAAGAGGGACTACAAAGCTGCTTTCCTTTAAAGTGGAGGCAGAGATGCCTCTGCTGATGATACTTTCCCTTGCTACATGTTTGTCAATGGTTATAGCAAGTTCATTTTCTTCTCTGAGGTGTTTTAAAAGCACAAACGAGCTCTTTGCTCCATTTGCTTTTTGAATGAAGAGGTTTAACATGTGAGTTTCAAGCAAAATGCAGCCCTTCCTGGCAGTTCTGAGTATGGCAGCAGATGCTTCCAACTCAGCACTTCCCTTCTCTCTGTGGATGGACTGATCTGTGCTGAGAGTTAGTCCCTCACTTGCAGGTGCCTTGGTCACTGCAGAGGAGCAAACCTGAAGCTGGGTCTTTGCTTCTGGGACCAGCAAATTCCTGACTTGACACCACTAACATAAATCCAAGATAAACTATCATGTTGTTAAGCATGAAAACACAGAAGTGTATTCTTTAGTCTAATGTTTACTCTTGAATTTTTCCTGTAATACTTCAAAATCTGAGACCAATGGGTGCCCAGGAAAAATATAATTCAATGGAAGAGAAACACCATGAAAACTGAAGATCATTCTTTTATTCATTCTTGAGCCACTTCTTCTCCATAGTTAGTGATACAACACGATCAGTTATTTCCAACATTGCCTTTAATATTTGGTGCATTGCAAAATAGGCAGAAATACAGATCTGTTGCTGGCATTTTGCAGGGGCCAATCATTAATGCTTGCGATTGCAGAATTTCCTACACGCGCAAGTGAACAGTTGCTTGCCCATGAAAGTCTCCTGCAGTTTTCTCTGCCCATCCTCCACCATTCTGCACTGTGACCAAAACTAAGACATATGCCACCGGCTTGATTTTTATTAACTGTCAGAATGGTTGTTTATCTTCTTTAAGCCACTGTGGCCTTTAGACTGTGAATCTTAACTGTCTTGTTTTTTCTGTATAAAGCTATGTGTATCTTTGACCTGCCACTCTTTCTTTTTTTCCCTTTGTGTATGTGTGTATGATTTGGCAGTCATTTCCTGCTTATTTATTAACTAACTGCTCCACAATCTAACATTATGCAGGCCCCATAATAAAGAAAAAATGAGTTTTTGCTGTTGAGATAAGCAGAGCAGCAACATGGGGCATAGAAACCATTCAAAAAGAGAAGAGTGAGGGTGAATCTTTTAAAAATAATAAGAAAAAAGCAGCAGCTGCATTCATTCGATGTACTTTTGCAGCCTTTCCCTGCACCTCAGGAAAACTCAGTTTCCTGTACCTATATTCCTTAGTAATGAGTGAGCAATTGATTTTAATAGACAGCTTCAGCAGTAATTTTCTAATATGCAATTTTTTAAAAAAAAAAGTATTACACATACGTAGATAGCTATGTAAGAGCAGAAAACAGATTCATTACTGCATCAAGTGTTTATCATGTTGGGTATTCAGCTGCATAATGAGTGCTTGCTGTACTAGATTACAAATTTTTTTTCCACTAAGATTGAACAAGTGATTTGTAAAAGCTTATCTGTCAGCATCAACTGTCTATGATTTTGATGTGATTTAATCATTAGGTTGCTTGTGGATCATATTCTCGTATCCCCGATTGCCTTATTTCAGCACTAGCTTTATTAGCAACCCAGAAGGTCAAAATGAAAAACCTTTCTTTGTGCTAGAAATCTGATATCAAGGGCTAATTTGTGTGCTATACAGAAATGAAAGTTTCTGTCTTTCTCTGTGAGGGGGTGTTTTCCTCTATTTGATACTCAAAATTGGCTCAGATTTGGCTTTTCTCTCCTTTGCTGAGAAGATTATCCTTACTGTGCTTGTGAAGAAAATTATTCAACAATATCCAACTGGTGGTCTTGCCTGAATGATTACGACTTCAAAAATAATGCTCTGCCTATTTGAAAAGTCTTTTTAAATTTTTTCCCAGGGCATGCTCTAACTGCAGCTTGAACTCAGCAAGGAGAATAATGTTGTTTTAGGCAATGATACTTCTTCTTGTCATGTAGGCTTGATTGTTGATTAATTACCTTTAAGGCGGGGTGGAAGAAGAGAAACACTGTCTCTATTCAGGCAGTTAAAAAAAAAAAGAATAATCATTGCATCAAATTGCTTATAAAAGTTTCTTAAAAGTGATTTTTATCTCAGTGTAATTGGTTGCTGCTCAACCATGCTCAGTTATTACGTATTATTTTACACTCTTTTTGCCTCATCTTGCCCTTCATTTAGTTACTACATGCTGGAGAACAGACCTCGAAACATCTACGGCATGGTTTGCTACTCGTGCTCGTTGGCTCCTCCTAACACCAAGGAATGTAAGTGTGCTGCGATTTCTGTGCCTTTCATCTGGTTTTGACTTGGAATCATCTGCAAGCTCAATATGAAGGCTTTCAGCGATTATTATTATGTTCAAACATTGAGTCAGTCTCCAGTAAAACAATTTCTGCTTCCAAATAGACTTGCCAACAGAGGAAGCAAATACTGAACATGTGAGGGGAGATCACAAGCTTTAACTTTAGGACCTGCTATTTCTCAGTCATGTTGCAGTTTTCATACATTAAAGCACTCGAGGCAGTTCTTATTAATGATTGTTCAACATTGTTCAACAAAGTATATATGAGAAGTCACAAACCTGTATATATTTTGTTCGTTCAATTTCAGTTGAGCTGTGAAGAAGGCACTTTCAGGAAACTTTCTAGGCTTTAGTAAAAGTACATCCACCTTCTTATATCCTTAGGTTTCAAAAAGTGATGCAAGGGTGACACTGGAGTATGACAGCCAGCCCTGACAAAAAAAAAAAAAAGCTGAAAAAAGGGCAGACTTCACTTAAAAAAAAAGCTGTAGTTTTCCAACTGGGAAAAAAAAAAGTATGTATCTGAGAGATGCTTCAGTGGTCCTTGTTCATCTTTATGCTGCATTAGTGCTAAGGCTGATTCATCCTTATGCCATGGATAAGGAAAACAGCCTCCTAAGAGCACTCTAATGCAGAGGCAACCTCCAGAAGATTTATTTCTTCCTTAGGAAGAAAGTTCTCTCTGAATGAACAAATGTCCTGATTTGGACACTCTCTAGGAGAATCCAGAGCAGATTAGGAGAAAAAGCAAAGAAAATAGAAGAAAGCAGGCAGTACCCCAGGTGGGGAAAGGTGATGCATGTACAAGCAAAATGCACTCCATACTGTCTGTTCTTTTAAAAGTCCTCACCATGAAAAAGAACTACAGTGTTTTGCCTACTTGATTTTGAAGCAGTGGTTCCACAAAGCTCCCAGAGCACATACTAACGCAAAAAAAAGAAAGTAATTGCCTAGTTTAGATGCTGCCAAAGTGTGTATCATCAGTGCTCTGCAGCCCACTTCAAAGGTGGACAGGGCATTAGCAGCTCCTACCTTTCCTAAAGAACAAGATGAGCCGGAGGATAAACACCCCGGCACAGAGCTCTTGGTGAGTTTAACAGCCCCCGTGGAGGAGCTCCCCCGAGCCAGGTGTCCATGAAGTAGCGGATCAGCTATAAACCCCCTACCAGGAGAGCAGGAGGAGGGGACGAGGGCTGGGTGCGCATAATTTTGGTGAGATATTGGACGGGTTTGGTGGTGAGACCATGGTGCTAGGGAAGTCTCCAGTCTGCGATGTGGGAAAGTGAGGAAAAGACAAGGTTAGGAGTCTAGGTAAGAGATGAGGGTACGTGGGAAGAAGAGAGGAGAAAAACACCCTTTCTCCTGCTTGTACTTGCAAGGCTGGCCACCCCATGGAGGTAGCTCAGCCAGACCTAAAGCTGTTATATTTAACAGCTGCAACGGCAGGACCTCTCATGGAGCCAGCTGAGTTTGGGAACTTTATTAACAGCTGATCAGGGATACCTAGCACACAGACTCCCTGTTCAACACACTTTGAGATGCTTACTTCAAGGCACGGGGTCTTTATCTCACCAGCTCCTATAGAGACCATACTTTCTGCCCATAAATAAGCCTTACTTCCAAAATGAAAAACAACATCTGAAATGAACTTCCTCCTCAGCTCTGATGATAGTCTCAAACACATACTGAGCTATTTCTTTAGTAACAGTGGACATGTTGTAGCTTATGGATTGGACAAGGAAGTACCAAAAGATCTTGTAGCTATTGCTCAAGTCACAAAACAAATCTTTGTAGGATATTTGGCAGATACAATATAAACGTGCTTAGTGCTGTGAGGAAAGCACAAATTGTGCAACTGACTAACCACATGCATATTTAACTTGAAAAACTCAAGAATAAATATGTGAAATATATATTTTATTTGGGAAGGGTTTAGGCAAGTGCATAAGCCTATGCAGCAATTGGGTGCTAATGCTGGAGAGAACATTAGTCCTAGCAAGAGTAAATACTACTGTATTAACCAAGTCTGCAATACCAACCATTCAACTGCAAGTGTTTAAGAGGTGGCAAAGTGTCTAAAAATCCAAATTCACTTTGTGATGGTCCTTCAAATCACTGAGTTCAAATTGACTTATTCTGACTAAATGGAGTCAGAATGGAGTATGGAGCGGTGGCTTCTCAACTCAAATAATGCTTTGGACTCCAATGGAAAATCAGCCTTGGAACCAGAATGTCTAAAAGGCTCCCTGTCCTTGTGGCAAACAGCACAAATTGTGATATAAGAGAGCGACCAGAAATAAAACCTCTTCATCACAGACATCACTAGCATCAAATTATACCAGTTGGAGCAATGAAACACAATTGCGTTTTTTTGCATAATTTTGCAAATGTCTAAACTAATTGTTGCACTCTCAATTAATGTGAGCTTGCAGTCTCTGTCGTAGGGAGGGTAATATGAGATCTCTATTACGAATGATTCCTATACTTGAAACAAATTCTGTTTATTGGAGCTGCTTGTTGAGCACTCTGGCTGCTATGAGGGAGGGTTCAGAGGGCATTAGAAAACTTCCAAATGGTCCCAGTCATCTTCAGTTTCTTTCTTGAGACTTTGAAATAGCTCTGAATAGAATTCAGGAACTTAAGATTTGCCAAGGTGACGCTCTCCTAGCACTGATTTTTGTCTTAAGCTCCTGTGTGTTCCCTTTCATGATAATTCTGTGAGGGAAAAGCACTGGGAATAGATGATCTTGGAGCTGCTTGTTGAGCACTCTGGCTGCTATGAGGGAGGGTTCAAAGGGCATTAGAAAACTTCCAAATGGTCCCAGTCATCTTCAGTTTCTTTCTTGAGAGTTTGAAATAACTCTGAATAGAATTCAGGAACTTAAGATTTGCCAAGGTGACACTCTCCTAGAACTGATTTTTGTCTTAAGCTCCTTCGTGTTTCCTTTCATGATAATTTTGTGAGGGAAAAGCACTGAGAATGGATGACCCAAAGGGTTGTACGGAAGCAAAGACAGCAAGATACTCCAAAATAGGAAGCTGAGACTGAGAAGCTTTGGCTTAAGTGCTTTACTTATAGACACTAAAATAAGGGAAAACGATAAATCCCACCTTTCACCTGTGTTAGCTCTGGGACAGGACCAGAGCACAGCAATCTCCTTAGCAGGAGAAATACCTACGTGGGGAGCTGCGTGGCCCCGTGGTGCACAGTGCCACAGCAGCAGTGAAGAGGGACGCGTGAGCTGCGGGGTGGAAACCTGCTTCAAGAGTCTTCCTGATCGCACATTTTATCTGGCAGAAAAGTGTTTGGTTTTGATCAAAGGGTAAACAAATAGCTTTCAACTCCAAGAGCCAGCTGTGCAACTTTCATCTCCTACACAGTCAGCAAACCTTGAGGTGGCGAAGGAAACAAGATGAACACCCCATCTCCAGCACCTGGAAATATTAGTGTAAAGGGCAAGCAAGAAATTCCCTGATGAGCCTGTGCCACCTTCATTTATTTATTTTCTCTCTCAAGGAAATTGAGACATAAATAGCACAAATAGAAAAGGCAGAGGGGGGAGAGGGAGACTTTTTCGTGGTTTTTGTGCCCAGTTATGTTTCTTTATTAGAGCTGTGGGCTCCCAGCCCTGCAGCGCTAAGCGCATGGTGTGAGACCGGCACCACGTGCATCCGTGCGGGAGGTGCGGGAGAGCCTGGGAAGGCCAGGTCGGGATACGGCACCTCCGTGACCAACAGCAGCCCTGTGGTGAGGGGCAGGCACCGGGCCCGGCCTCCTGGGCAAAGCAGGGCACAGTGGTCACCAAACCACTTTGAGACGTGGCTTACCGTGGTTAATGGTGCTGGATTTTCTGTCGACAGCCCTGGGACCAGAGTCACTTGAGGCCTCTGACAATGTGGTATATTTTTTTTTCTTTTACACAGAGTGAAAATATGTGCCAAAGACAGAATATGTGAACCTACATGGAGTTTATTTGGCACAGAGGTACAGTTACTGTTGGAAGAGATTTTATCTTTTAGCAGCTGCAGTTCTCTATCAGTAAATAAAAATAAACTCTGCTCTTCTATTGAACCTTCGGTATTTGCCATTTCAGTTCAAAACTGATGGCAAAATCAAAACCAAATCCTGCTACAAGAACTTGAAGAGCTCTGTGCTTTGAAGTTATAATTATTTCTTACATCTAATATGCTTTCCATTCACATTGCTTTAGAGGACTTCAGCAATTGGGGGGGTTTCTTTTCAATCTTCATATATTCATATGGGCAGAAAATATTGTTATTTCTGCTTGTCTTTTTTTCTTGATATTTTCATATACATGCAAATAGTTGCAATCCTGTGTTAAAAATCTGTGTAGGTTTTTAAGCCTAAAAAATACAGTGATGGCTTGGCAAGTATTTGTTGGGGGAGGCAGAGGGGGCACTGCCATATCCCTGTGCTAAAGACTCAATTGAAATGCTGATCAGAAACGAGACTAGCATGGAAAAACCTTGGGTATTAGTGAAAAAAATTTTTTTTCAAAGTGTTTTTACTTTTAACCCCCCATTCTTTATTATATCACCAATTTACTTTCTTAGCCAGTTTTGTTCTGTAATATGATCAACATTGGGATTTTTTCATTTTTTTTTTACTTCTGTTTCAAATTATGCTTACAAATGAATTCGCTTGTTAGCTGGAGCTAACAAGCTTTGTTTTTTTTTCCCCTCCTTTTGAGTTCTTTGATTTCCAGACACCCTGTTCCCCGTGGCATGCGGAGCGGGAGAAGCGTTGCAGGCAGTGCTTTTCTGTTCACTGGTGGTGGCACCAAATTCTCCTTCCCTTGGGGTTCGCCTGTGTTAGGGAAGGAGCCTAATATGAGGACGAAGCCTCAGGAAAGCTTCGAGGGGAGGGAGCAGCAGTGGGGCTTGAGCTCCTGCCACGCTCCGGTCCTCCCTGCTCTCTGCATGGAGAAGGTGACATGATCCGTATGTCCCATGGCAGCAGAAGACCCTAAAACAAAACCCAATCCTCTGTAGTCTGGGATATTCTCATTTTACTTAGGGATTTACCCTACTTTCAGGCTTGGGTAAGGTTTGATTGCTAGATTCATAAGCAGGTACCTTAGAAAGCGGCTCAATTTTGACAGCTGCTTCAGCATTCATTACTTTCCAAGTGTATAGGGTTTCCCTGTGAGGTGGTGTTTCCTTAAGTTCAAAACCAAACCTTTTGTGTGAGTAAGTGAACAGAGATTTACATTACAGAAACTGAATACAGGTTTACCTTAATCTGAGACTTCTGACCTATGTTTTCTCAGCATCGAGCTCTTTATTTAGACTAGGCTTAGATATAATCTAGCTTTAGATTACTTTGCCAGCCATAAACTTTCTACCTTCCTTGAATTTCAGCTCGGTATATTTCATTTTCCACCTCGTATTTCAGGCCGCTGGTTCATTTTTTCGGCGCGCTTCATGGCGCGTCGCGGCCTCAAGGTGGTCGCGGGCGCCGCGCCCGGGGGGCCCTTCCCAAACAGACCTGGGCACCGAAAAGGAGGGTGCATTAGGGTTAAATAGCAAGAAATAGATACAAGCATGTCCAGAGACTTTTTTTAAATGCTTCTTGTTTGGAAGAGAGGAGAGATACAGAGTGAATCACTCTGATGATAGTCTGTGTATACGCGTTTTGTATATTTTTATTAAAAGCATTAAAAAAAGCTGTTGATAGCTATGAGCAGCAGTCCTATGCACAGACCAATATGCTGACACTTGCCGTGTCAGAAACACATATGCTCTCTTATTGCACCAGGTTTTCTTCAGTCACTAGCACTTGCAGGAGAACATGTTGGTAAAACCTCCCTCCCTCCCTGTGCCCCCCTTCTCACAAATCTGGTCGTTTTGTTCATCACTTGCTTTTTATTGTAAATCTGTCTTGTGATACATGAACCACTCTAATAGCCCTGTTTTACATACAGTAGCAAAGTTCTTTGCAACAAAAATTTGCCTTGTATTTGTTGACTATAGGGACAAAAGGCTGGCAGCATGGTAACTTAAATAAAAGTTAAGAAAAAAAAGTTAAGAGTTAAGAAAAAAAACAAACTCTCAATTGTGAATGCAAGTCAATTGTTCTTTTAAACAATAAAATAATCTTTTTTTAAATGTAACTATATTTAGACTCTGAGAAAGTTATGACTAAATTACATTTTTTTAATAAAAGCATGTATAATGTAAAAGCTGACATACTCTCAGTGATAACCTTCTTTCCTAATGTCTTTACCACATTCCTACAGTATTACTTGGAGGTGTCCAGGAATATAAAGCACTCTTTTGCACAGCTATATTATAGCCATTGGTCTTTTTTTTGTGCCTAAAATAGAGTTATTTCCATATGTTGTGCTGCAGCACCTCAGGATGACTCTGCCTGCACTATATCTAAGTTTTTATTGATTATGTAAGAGTCATCTATATTGGAACCAGAATTAATAATGTGATCTGGATGCAAACTGGAATGACTGACTTCTTTGTAGTCATGCTGTATGTAGGAAAAAGAACAGCTATGAGTTTTGTTTCTTTTTGCTGTTGCAAAAATGGCCCGAACAGCAATTCTGCAGAAGCTGGCATTTTTGGTTCCCCTTTTTAATGCAGGTGCTTGAATTGGCCCTTTCTTCTAAGCCACATCTAAAGAAAAGTCTTGGCTCATAATGCATATGCCAAATTATTAAATTTGATAATAGGCTTAAAATATGCATAATGACTAACTCCCACAGAGGCGTATATAAAAAAGCCATCATGTTCTAGCACCGGCCTAGCTTTTGCCATGATAGATGCTCCTGAGCAAACCAGGCAGTCCCACTCTCATGTAACTGCAGGAGGAGGCTGCACGTCGGCTCTGAGAGGGAGCTGCACTGGGGAGGACCCGGTGTGTGCATATGTGGCAGGGGTGACACAAAAAGCAGTGGGGTGCAGCCCCTGTTACGCACGTGCCGTCATGCAGCGTGTGGTTGCAGTGTCGTGGGCATGGCGGGAATGCTGAAAGGAGCAGGGATGACCTTCTGCCAAATGAAAAACATTACGTTAATCCTATGCAATGGCTGAAAGATGGAATAAGCAAGTTACAAACTCTCTCAGTAACTGCATGTTTAGAATGGGGGCATAAAGAAGAGAGCGCAATAAACCTTGCTTGGGAGGGAGACGAGCTCAAGCTTGCTGGATAACCCGCAGGCAGAGCAAGGCAAAGAGCTCATGTGTGTTGGCTGAAAGGCAGTGGGAGAGCAGCTCTCCTTGGCTTGTTGCAGCTTGCAGGAGCGGCAGAGATTCGCAGTAACTGGGTTTGCCAGGGAACGGCAAGAGCGGGCGGAAGGCCGGGAGCAGCGGACGTGGAAGGAAGGAGCGGGCTGCAACACTGGCTGGTTACTGAATTCCCTCCCTTGTCCAACCACGAGTGGTGGTTGGTTCATCAGTCAAGAACGAGGATGATTCATTTCATTTTTTGTGAAGAATTGCTGAGATTTTAACAACTTGCCCATCTTCACACTCCATTCCATGCAGATGACATTGTCGCTGCGTGTTATTTAGAAGCTCTACTGGTACATTGTAGTTCCTGGAGCTTATAAACAATTCTGAGAACTGAGCCTGTTGTGGAGAAGGGACCAGAGGCGAGATTAATGGGTCATTTACATAATACTAAAGGCATCTGAGTTAACAAATTTGTATATTGAAAACTTTATGAAAACACTACTTCAGTTTGAAAAAAAGCAATAATAATGAATGAATCCATTTCTTCCAACAAATGAGGTTTGAAAGGAGTTTTAGCATTGTAAAAGCACATGTCTTTTGAAGCCATCTGCAGCTCATACTTTGTGGCCACCTTAGGGATCTTCATTTCTCATTCACTGCGTAGAGTCACATTTTATGTTAGGCAACACTTTTTTTTTTCTTTTTATAAAACATTTATCTTAATTTGAAGAGCATGTCTGCTTCTTTGTTCTTAACCATGGAACATTTCTCAGATCATTGCAGGCCACTTAATTTCCTGTCAAGTTTACCTGGTGGGTTTAATTTCTTGTAGCTTTTACTAAGTCAGTAAATAGCATGATTAGTTCTCAGCTGCTGTAGTTGCCAAGCTGTGTTTTTAAGATGGGTGCTGTATACACCTTACCAGATGACTGGGACAGTGTTTTGGCTTCAGATCAGCTGGATTCAATTACTCCTGGACTTCAATATACAGATAATATAAAGCAGCAGGGGTTCCAGTGCTAGAAAATGGTTTCCAGTGTCTGTTGACAGTATCTGTTTGTATAACCTGTGTACCAGTTAGGTTAAAGGTTGTTTGAGAAACAAAGGAAATGTTTTCTTCCATAAATATGTTTATTCCTTTTTTGGAATTCTGTTCCTCTGCATGAAAGCATTCCCATCAACAGCCTAATTCCCCATCATTTCAGTATTGTCTGGTATTGTCAAAAGACATTAATTTGTGACTTGTTTAATTGCTTTGAAAACATGAAGCATGACATCATCTGAAGGATTAATGAAAATAACAACTTTTTAAATTAACTGTAGAATTTAGACCCATTGGACAATCATCTCACTTAATCCTCTACGTAGGAGCTTATGGCATTTCTGTGAATGTTGCAGGTGCAGGCGCCACCTCCGGCATTTCAGCCGTTTTCCCCAGCACCTCTGGCACAAGCACCTTCTCGCCTTACCAGCACGCTCACAAAGGTACGACTACACTTACGAGTTGGTTTAGCAGATGTTGCTCCTGAGATTAGCACCCGTCCAATGCAACTGCACTGAAGACTACCGGTGTGTAATTCATTGCTATGACTTCCAGATCGCTGAACCTGCTACGAAAACCGATTCAGAATGGATTTTTATTTCTTGGTTAATGATTTGTTAATTGTTTGTGGCTACAGAGAAGTGGCATTATGACTCAGCAAAGCTTAGCTTAGATTTGTGAAAGTAATTTAATGCACGGCTACAGCCTCCATAACTCTTGTTGAACCAACATAGACAGTTCTCCATTATGGTTATTAGCTGTTCAAAATACCTGAACATGAGAAGACATAGTAGGAAAAAATGCTGCTAATGAGAGCCTGGTGCTGCTGATCTTCCCCATTTTGTCCGTAGACAGGACCTTGAGGATCATGCTTTCAGAAAAGCTCAAGTCTTCATGCTTTTTATCTTATTTCTCATTTTCTGCATCCTTTTGTGACTTCTGGATTCTAGTTTATTACATTTAAGTTCGGCTTTAAATCCCTTCATACGTATGTTATTTTAAATCCATCTCGAGAGCCTGGTGCTGCTGATCTTCCCCATTTTGTCCGTAGACAGGACCTTGAGGATCATGCTTTCAGAAAAGCTCAAGTCTTCATGCTTTTTATCTTATTTCTCATTTTCTGCATCCTTTTGTGACTTCTGGATTCTAGTTTATTACATTTAAGTTCGGCTTTAAATCCCTTCATACGTATGTTATTTTAAATCCATCTCCCAGCCACCTTGTATTTTAAGTCTCTTAGAAAAGCATCAGTTTTGTGCATGTGCATGGTGTTCTTCTTGCTACAAGGCTTTTGACCTGTTTGTCCATACATTTTCTTTTCGATGCTGTTTCCCAGAAGTCAGTGTTAGGAATTCTGCTATTCCTGCTCACGTATAGTTTCCTATGTTATTAGCAGTTCCCTATATTACCTCTACATATCTAATGAAACATGATCAAGTATTTCTTATGACAACTAGCATAAATGTTGTAATTTTGTAAAACCCTGTCAATTAATTTGCCTTTGAGATGAAATACTAAGTTTTTTCAGGGCTCAACAGGACAGGCAAGGGTCAGATCCAATAAAGAAAGATGCAAACTACGTTTAGAGCAGGCTGCAAACTGTTAACTGTTCATTGATTTTGAGAGCAGGTTCTTTACAAAGTATTTCTTTGTGTTTGCAGCAGATCTTTCAGGTCAAGGACATCTGGCTACAGCTCTCATAATTGCAATGTCTACCATATTCATAATGGCTATTGCTATTGTCCTCATCATCATGTTCTACATTGTGAAAACAAAACCTTCCGCTCAAGGTAATTGTTCAGCATATGAAATTTTAGCTGTAAATGCTATTTTTAGGTAGCTACTGAGAATAATCATTAAGTTTTATTTTTATATCCTAGCCTGTTGCAAGAGCCACTCTGTAAAAAATGTTGAAGCTCAGGCCAACACACAAGAAGAGAAGAAAGAAGTGCAAGGTATAAATTGCTTTAGAGTTTGCTTTTTCTATCCAAAATGACACTGAATTAGATATTCTTAATCAATCATACTTGCCATCTCCCCTTTTAATCGTATACATTCTGTGTCAGTTTACTGAAAATGGTATATAATAGTTTTTGCACTTCCAGGAAAGATGAGGTGCCACTCACGCTCCCTCCTTAGTGGTACGTAATGTGCAGGAAAATGCCTGGGCACCAGGTCCTGTTTTTTTTTTTTTTTTTTGGCGTGGTTTGTAGTAATACACAAAAAGCAAAATGGAGTTAATTGGCCCCCAAATTTTCAATGCTGTAAATTCTGGCAGAGCATGATATAACGTGTCAGGAATCAGCTTTTCTGGGCAAGCTGAGGTGACCACCACCACCTAACGTGCCAGCCTTGCCTGGGACACCATGTGCTCCATCTCACAGCCCAAACAGGCCCCTGAACTGCCACAGACTGGGGAGCCCCCTGTGTCCAACGTTGTGCGGGGCATTGCGTGAATAGGCTTGTGGTTTTGCTTCAGCAGGGTAAAGACCAGATGACTTAGTCATGTTTTCTTCCCCTTTGGTTTCTAAGAGAGACAGGCGAGGACCAAGGAAAGGTCCTCTCCTTCTGCAACCATCAGCCCTTGGTGCTCTGTCTCCTTGTTAGAAAGGTCCATTTTAGGGCTGGAGAGTAGCCCCCACATGCATGCCTTTGGTCAGGTATGTAGGGTTACCTCTTGACTGTCAGCTGGGAGAAGCAAACACAGCTTCTGCTCCAGGCCTTAAGGAAACTCCTTTTTTGGAGTACCACCTGGGCATGTTTTTCGAAAAAATGAAAATCTTTTTTGTTCCATTCTTTGGAATTCCACCAAGAGGGACATCACTAAGATAACCTTATCCTTCATTTTACAGTGAAAATGATGCATCTTCTGAGAATGAACGACTTTTAAGTCGTAGTATGGATAGTGATGAAGAAGCCGCGGTCGACAAGCAAGGGACCCCAGAGAGATGCTTGCTATCTCTAGTGCATTTGGCCAGAGATAAATCTTCTACGAACAACAAAGCAACTGGGGTAAGGCTATTTTGAGATCTAAAAATGGAGGGTACATTTTTTTTTTACAGACACCATCTATCAACCCCAAATGCATTACAGAGATTGAACTAATTTGCAAGAGAATTTCTCCAGACAAATTTATTAGAAAATCTCATAGTGGCATATAGTATTCCTCCAGAATTTCAGAGGTGATCTGTGTATATATATATGCATATATATGTGCTGTTCAGAGTTGAAAAGTAAATTTCTGGCCAGAGTAATAACTTTGTTCTTTTGAGCATTGTGTTTTATAGTTTAAAGAAAGAAAAAAAGAACAGCAAAATCCCAACATAGCAACACTTACATTTACCAAGGAAAAAAGAGGATAGAAAAATAAGTTTACAGCTTGCCTGGATTCATATTGTGGCATAGCATTTGGGTTTCTTAGATGTTTTAGAGCAGCTAATGCTCTAATGTGTGGCACGAGTGTTTCTATGTCATACGATTTTCAATAATATGTGGTTTTGTACTTAGGTTTTGTGAGTAATTTTCAAAAACGCAGATTTGAAGGCCACTCCTGTCTTACAAAGAACAACGTCAATCTACTGTTTGTTTTACTGTGGAAGGTCTTTTTTTCCTTCCTGCTGGCTGTACACTGCCCAGGGCACTTTTATCACAGTAAGGGTATTTCAAGGCATATTTAGGGCACTCCCTCACCCAGTTGCCTTTTTTATTCGATGTCAACATGAAACCATCCTTAAAAAGAAATCATCTGCTCAGATGTTTTTTAAGCTTTTAGAACTTCAGGAGAGGGGAAAAAAAAAAAAAGCAGAAATAACTGATAAAAGCAATCAGTTAATGTCAACCATTTGGGGCTTTTTAAGATAAAAAGGTTTGAAAATATACCTTTTCATATTTGCATGTTTTAAATTGTTGAGATGGTTTAGCTCAAACTTTGTAAAATAGCTCCTTTCTCAGCAGAGACCAGATGCAAAAAGTTTCAAACCCGAGAAATATTTTTTTTTTCACAGACAATTTCAACCAGTGAAAATAACTTACTACTCCAGTGTTCACATTTTAAAATTTAGCCTTATGAGCTTTCGATCTTTATCATACTTTTCTATGCACTTGCTTAAAATTAAATAACACAAGTTGGGTATGCACAAAATCAGAACATTTCATAGGAAGTGACTTCCAAAGACCATATGCGCTAGATACTTTCTGTTGAGTACTTTATATAAGCACATGAACTATTTCTTCAAGACTTTCTGTTGTAATATGCTCCTTATGGCCTGAGGCCTGCTGATGGGGTTAAAGACAAGCCTTTCAGTAAAGGTGCAGAGTGCATCAAGGGGCTCTCCTAGCTATCTGAGATATTGCAGTTAAGCCAGTTGCCAGAAAGTTAGAAGAGCAGCAATTTGTTTGAGGCTAGAGATGAACTAATGTATTTAGTACAGGGAATAAAATTATTAAGCAGCTGTTGGGCAAAGTTAAAGAAAGTTAAAGGCCTACTCTTAACCAAGGCTGCTGCTTCCTAAAGAAATAACAAACTATTTTGCAATCATAGAATCATGGAATCACAGAATGCTTAAGGTTGGAAGGGACCTCTAGAGATCATCTAGTCCAACCCCCCTGCACATGCAGGGTCACCTAGAGCACGTGGCACAGGACTGTGTCCAAGCGGGTTTTGAAGATCTCCAGAGAAGGAGACTCCACAACCTCTCTGGGCAGCCTGTTCCAGTGCTCTGTCACACTCTCTGTTAAGAAATTTTTTCCTTAAGTTCCTGTGGAACTTTTGGTGCTTCAGTTTGTGGCCATTACCTCTAGTTCTGTCGGTCGCCACCAGTGAAAAGAGGCCAGCACCATCCTCTGCACTCCCTCCCTTGAGGTACTTACAGACACTGATCAGGTCCCCTCTCAGCCTTCTCTTCTCCACGCTGAACAGGCCCAGCTCCCTCAGTCTTTCCTCATAGGGCAGATGTTCCAGGCCCCTGATCATCCTTGTGGCCCTGCGCTGGACTCTCTCCAGCAGCTCCACGTCCCTCTTGTACTGTGGAGCCCAGAACTGGACACAATACATTGGTGGCAATGAGCCACCACAGAGAGGATCTCAAACCAGATTCAGATTTACCTGTTTGCTTTCAGCATAAGCATTACAAATTCTTCAGGCTCTGGTAAAAACAGCATCTTGCATATTTTTTCATTATTTTTCTTTTTTATGAATTATTAAGTCTCCTTCTCTGCCCGAAAAAGGAGGGCAGAGTAAAAATGGGCATCTAACAGTTTGCTTAAGTGGAATTTTTAAGAATACCATTAAATGAAATTTTTATGCTTCCAGGACTCTGAAACAGCAAATCCGAATGTGCAATAGCTACCTAAATGACCAAACACACATGAATTTTGTGGAGAATATGCGAACAACTTCTATTGCCTGCATCTTCATTCCCTGAGATGCAACATATTTGGACAGCCTCTGCGCCTCTGGGTAGAGCTGCCATTTTGTAGGCTCTGAATAAATGTTTATTAATCCATGTAACTGATGTGCCTTGGCCCATGGAGCCCATTGAAAACAAGGAGTTGTTTTCTATGTTTTTCACAAACAAAACAGTCCAAATGGAGCTTTTTCCAAGCTGCTTTTCTGTGAAAAGTGGTGAATTTGTGAAGATAATACTAGAGTCCTATCAAGAAATCAGCTTTTCAAATAGCTCAGTCCTAATGAGACCTGGCAGAGTGTTGACAGTTCCAGTCCCTCAGAACACCTGACACTTTGACATTTTTTTTTCACTACACATTGAATCCAAGGCTAAACCTTGGGAGCACTTCTGCTAAATGAAATTACATCAAAATGTCTGTTTTTGCCTGGAAAATGTCAGGTGTTCAGTCTGCATCTCTTCCTTGTCAAAAATGACTACAGCACCTTGGACCTCAGATTTTCCCTCTCTAAAGCTTCACTGATATTTTTTATCTATCTGTAAAGTGTTTCAGATTCAACCAGGCATGTATGTAAAATTAGTAATTGCCTAAGCAGTTCTGTGTCAAATGTCAGAAAGCAAGATCCCCTCCTCTACAGTCCTTCTCCATTACTGGGAGAAAGGAATTCCAGTCTGAAATTAATCCCCTGTGGTTAATCCCATCCTCATTTACCTGGATATCCCTGCATTAATTGCCTGTACTATGTGGTATTGTATTTATCCTCTTTGTCAGCACTTTGCTTCAGTCTCAAAGAGAAATTAAATGCAAAAACACTTAAAGCAGAAAAGTGACTGATCTAAAAGGAGATTAGAACGTGAAAAGAAATATCTCTAACAGTGAAAAATGTTTATTCTTCACTGAATTTCTACATGTGCCTCTATACATTTTCAAAAGGGGGCCTGTGAGGACTTTATATAATAAACGCTTGTATTCAGAGCCCTGGTTGAGGATCTCCCAGAGGTTTTATACTGATGGCTGCTAATTATTTACAGTCATTTTCATGACTGGAAAAAAATAAAGAAAGAAATAAAGAAATAAAACTCTTTTCATGCAGATTCAGAGTCGAAGGAAAAAGATACTTGATGTGTACGCCAACGTATGCGACGTTGCAGAAGGTGAGTGTGTAAAACTTGCGGCAATGCTAACAGCACAAAATTAGATCACAGAAAGAATAGAATACAGAATAGAAATCCCCCCGTCTGCCTGTGGAAAAGTGAGCTATAAGGAAAGCCCAAATGTGGGAGAAGATACTCTGCAAGCAGATCTGTATTCACCTGCCCTTAGGAAGCATCATGGGGCCCCGTTGACAGAACTGTCCTGACTGGATCTGCGCTCTGCTCCAGCTGGATGCCTGGGTTTCCCTCTGACGGGAAGCAGCAGGGGCAGCACTGGGTTGTGTTTGGGCATGCACGGCAGCCAGCTTGTGGGGAAACACTATCTATTCCTCATCCAGTGGAAGCCTGTCTCATTTATGTATTTAGGGTTACTTGAATAACAGATATGAATTTGTTCCAAACGTGAAAGTGTGATTTGCAAAGGGTCAGAATCATATTTCAGATTCTTGACCTATATCTTGACCTCCAAGGTTTCTCTCAATGCTGTCCCGCTCCCCATGACCAAAAGTTTAGCTTCCAAGTAAATTTAAGTGTCTAAGTGTTAACCCTGGATATACAACCACATTTTCTTTCCCCTGACATATGTAAACTGTGTGTGTGTATTTGTGTGCACATTTGTGGGTTTTCTGTTGTTTGGGGAGTTCTATCTCCCACCAAACTGCTGCCACTATGTACAAAGCAGGAAAACCATAATCTGAAAGATTGTTTTTGACAAGATGCTGTTGCTGATTCTCTCCTATGGTCTGTGATCGTACAAGAAATTGTCCAGAAAAACATAGTGTTCCCTCCCTGTTCCCTCCCCCAAGATGAGCGCTAAATCCTCTCTAGCCATTCAGTGATAGCAATGACAAGCACTTGCAGGGACTTTTTTGCTTGGAAGGGTCAACATCATTGCTTCACCTCGCTCCTCGTGCTCCTACAAGGACAGTTTTCAAGTATGGAGCAGTTAGTGTCACAGGAATATATACAACCCCTGTAATAACTTCTTTCCCAGCCAACTTAATATCCTAATTATTCCACTAATATTGTCCCCTACTGTCACAAGGAAGAATTAACTCCAGTAGTAACATGCAGCAGTGTCATTGTACCTAGACATATCTATCACAGACTAGCACTTAAAGATATTGGATGTACTTGCTAATAGTGTATGCTGGAGTATTTTAATAAGAAATGTTCTGAACAGCCCAGACTCGTGTGCGGAGCCATCTGACTGCGTAATCCTCCCTTTGCAGGTCTGAGTCCCACGGAGCTGCCATTCGACTGCCTGGAGAAAACGAGCCGAATGCTCAGCTCGACCTACAACACCGAAAAAGCCATCGTGAAGACGTGGCGCCACCTCGCCGAGAGCTTCGGCCTGAAGCGCGATGAGATCGGCGGCATGACGGACGGCATGCAGCTCTTCGACCGCATCAGCACGGCGGGCTACAGCATCCCCGAGCTGCTAACCAAACTGGTGCAGATCGAGCGGCTCGACGCCGTCGAGTCCCTGTGCGCCGATATTCTGGAGTGGGCGCAGGCGATGCCGGCTCCCGAACCGGCAGTGACGTCCTGACATCCCCGCCTGGGACCGTCCTTGCCGCCCCGGCTGCAGGAGCAGTGATTCCAAAGAGCACCACGGCGAAGACTTTGGACAAAGTTTCCCTCCCGCTTGGCCAAGAGTGAAGTTCTGCCTGAAAACACCAGCAGAAAACTCCTGGAAAGCTTGATATGAGCATGTGGTTAAACAAAATGGTTTTGTTAAACAGTTACTGGTAGTCAGTGGGCACAAACATCCACTTTGAAGTCTGTGTGTGAGTATATGTGCAGCTCACCCTGCTGATATCCTTCCTGCCTGGCGTTGGAGAAAGCTTTACTCAATAGTATAATAGTTACAGACAAAACAGTACAGCTACCGTACCATTAAATATACATTAGGCACGTACATTTCTATTGGTTTAACACACTTAATATATAACCAGTTTAGTTATCTGTATTTACTATGGATTTGCTGATCTAGAAGTATGTGCACAGGTGTATATAGGCAGTCCTCAGATTAACTCATTATACTGTATGAAAAAAGCTTCAACCTAATTTCCAGATGGAAGTGCTTCAAATCCCTGTATATAATGCATGTACATGCACTCTTGGTCCATACAGACATTTCAGAAATTATAAGTTCAAACTGCTAATTTACTGACGACATGCTGGTTAGGAAGTGCGCAGAAAGCTGACAGTGAATACTTGGGAGCTGACAGCAGCTCAACAGTTTTTCCCTTCTTAGCCACTACAAAAAAGAAGCAACGAAAGAACTTGTCCATCACAGTGAACATTTTTTTTCAGTAATGACATCAATGTATTGAATTATTTTTCAAGCAGAGGAATTTCAGACAATAGCAGTGTGCATTCTACACTGAGAACAAAAAGAAAGTAGGTTTCTTCGGCAGCACTTGAAATATACAGGAAAAAGGGGTTTTGAAATCCTCTTCTCTTGTAAATGTAGAACATGAGCGTACACTCCACAGTGAGATGAAAAATAATTTCTCTAAAGCTTATTTCGAGTTTGTGCATGACAAAATACCTTATTTTTTCCTATTAACCAATCTCTAATTTTCTAGGGTGAAAGCTCTTAAAAAATTTTACAGGCCACAAGTTACCAAACCTATGCAGTTAAGTTATAATTAAAATAAGCAATGACAGATTTCCACAAATGCAACCATTAAATTAAACTGAACTGTGAAGTGATACTGCAAGCTCCAAAATGCATGACTGAACAAAACGTTATAAAAACACCAATTCTGATCCTGAATCCTGTATTAGAAACTGCATCTACTCTAAGGTCAACTTGGAAACTAAACCTTACCTACACTGGTATCATAGTTATGTGCTGAGTGTTTAATGTCACCATCTACTGCCTCTGTTTACTGATCTTTTCAGCACTTGTAGTGTACTAGAGAGGAATCGCATTCTGCATTATAAAACTTATCCTTCTCATTTTTCTTTTTCCACCATTTCTTCAGTATTGTAATACATTCTTTATCCATGTGCATATGACAAATTTGATTATATTTTTACCTTTTCTTTAGAGGAAGCAGCAAGTTGCCTTTATTTGAAGATTTAACTAGCTGATTGATATTTAAAATAGAAATGACATTCTTGCTATCTTGCAGTCAATGCCAAACTCAGGTGGATTTCAGCTGGCTTTAGTAAGATTTCTAGGTTTGCTGATAATTTAGCAGTCTTCAACAAGATTTCCAAGACCGTACAGCAGCAGTTTTAGTCCATTGCTAAGAAAACATAAAAAAGGGGCAAAAGAAGAAAGTTTTAGCATGTACATTCTATTCGCCATGTGTTAGTGTGTAACTACAGTGTTACTACTATATTTTGTGTTACAGATAATAGTACATACCATTTATTTCTTTAAAAGAAAACACAGGAATCCTCTTTTATTACGTTTATGGGGCCTTGAAAAATTAAGGTCTTGAAATCAATGGTGCCAATGTGAACATAGACTATTTAACGTTATTTTATTTAGTATACAGTATTTTTATTATTACACAAAAGATGTACAGGAGTGAAAAAAAATTCTGTAGATCTTGCCAAATAATGTTGTCTAATGCTGTATATATAACTTATTATATTGTAAAATATGAACATAAAATATCCTAATAAAAGAAAGAGGTCAGAGTCGTAGCAGTCATTTCTTCAATTAAATTATATATTGTCTTTTAAACCTGTAATTAAATAAGCTACCCAGGGCCCCAGCAGGCACATTCCTGGTATGGGAGTGTCTGGGTAACACACATGAAGGAACCTTTATATTCCAGTAGGATAATGTTTGCCTGCATCACACTCCAGAAAGTGTGAAGCAGAAATCTTTCCTTTCTCAGCATAGTTCTGGTTCTATATTTCAGCTTTTAAGTACTAGGAAATACTAAATTCCTAACAGCAACTGTTTGCCAATCATGTATGTATTGAGAGCTGGTCTCAGCCATGAGACCAGTGAGTAATGGAACCACAGCAATACTCTCAAACATATTGACATTTTACATTCCTAAACTAGCACTACTCCACCACATTATCAGACCTGATTTGGAAGCTTTCATTTTGTGACAGAATAATTACATTCATTCAATCTGGCTAATAAACAGCCTGCCAGCCAGCGTCCACAACACAGCGCTGGAAGCTGAGCTTCCCCGGACACTGCCGGCCGAGCTGAGACTTCCTGTGCATTTCACATAGACCAGGCATAGACCAGACCTTCTAAACGGAAGGAACACTTCCTTGGGTTTTTTGTTTTTTTTTTTTTAAATAGGGTTGGAGTTTTGTTTGCCCAGATTCATGTGTTGGTTCCATCACTATGAATATTTTCTTTCTCTGTTGGTTCAAGAAGCTCCAACAATATCTTGAGTCTGCCAGGCACTTGAAAGGAAACAATGTTCAGAGTTTTGCTTTACCGTTTTCTTCCTTCCGCAGGATTTTTGCAGGAGTTCCCGCAGCAGGAACGTGCACTCCAACAGGTACTGCCTTGTCTAAGCAGGTAGCTGGAGCTGAGCAGCTTCATCAGCCTCTGCCTGAAGGCGCTCATGGTCAATCCCTCAAGCGGGAAACTTTGGCCTTGCAGGCTTAACAAGGTAAAACATAAACTTGTTTCAATCTGATTCAAATGTCCTTCCACCATATAAAATAATGAAACAAAACAAGCAAACATAAAAGCCATACCTCATGGTAGTATCTATGAGATGTGTCTTTATTTCGATTTATTTCACTTTTTCCAGTTATTTCACTTCTCCCAAGAATTTTTAATTCTTGTATAGTCCTGCCAGCACACTGGGAGGTACCTCCTCAAAAGTAGTTGCCTGCAGTGAGATTCACCCCTAAGAAAGGTACCACCTAAAGCAGACATCTCAGTCAATATAAACTGTGTCTAAACATGCCTGTTATTCTTTCTTGGCTACAAAGATTTGTCACTAGAGTGACAAGCCTTGATGCAGAGATCTACTCTACACATGTAAAAGGTTACACGAGTTGACTCTTAGCAATTAACCACTGTATTTCAGGTGTGTCACTGCATTCGAGTTCAAACACAGCTCTGAAATACCCTGGACCAGCAAGTGTAGAATGAAAGTGAATCTGGTCCTATGATAAATTTGATCAACTAGTTTTCTAGTCTTTGTGAGTTATTGGATCAGATGAGTGCTTAAAGGGTAATTAGAGTTGATTTCTCTGTCATTGTGTGACAATGTTCTTGAGTTTTACTCTAAATTTGGCACACACAAGGTCATAGTAAAGCTATGATTGACTCTTCTATCCTAAATATGATAATACTGTTGCAATAAGAATCCAAAACCTTTTTTGCCTTTTTTAACATAAGAATAGTGCAGATATTTAATCTATTATTGTAGACGTTACCTCAAATAGAAGTTCACTATGCACCATATAATCTTAAATCAAACTTACATCAACAATCCAAATTCTGCAGAAAACATCACCATTTGTGCTCTGAAGTGACTCTTTACCACTCCAGCAAGTAGTCGATCAACCACAGATTGCCTTCTTCATGGGTGTGAAGAAACCAATTTGTATTTTTGTTTCAGAAAAAAATACTTTTTTTTCAACTTCGGTTTCAGCTTTCTGACTTAAGACTGAAAGACCAGACTGAACAGGGAAGAAACGATTGCGTCGCATTACAGGAAGCACTCTGTGCCAGTGCGACTCGGCTGCCCCATAGAACGTCTTTGCACAGCTGTAGATCTATTTTAATCACCTCTGGCAATATGTTGTCTTATCATCACAACAAGTGCCTAACAGTCTAAGCGTACCCTATCAAAATAAGGACAGTAAAATATCTTATACCATCATGGGCTTTCCTGCATGATGATCAGGAAGAAAAATAGAGATGTAAACTGTTTCATGTTAAAATTCTGATGAACAGGAAACCTGAGCATAATGTCACTTCATAAGAAATACTTTACGAAGAAGGACTTGACTAACAGTCTAAGTCAACTTTACGATAACAGAGAATTGTCTCTGACGGTTACGGTACTTTGTGTTCCTTTAAAAGGCAACAGCTCACAAGGAGAGGCTACTGCCTTATGTTGTCCTGATTGCCATTTATTGCCTCAGGCTTTTCCTCTGGATAGAGAAAAAAAGAAAAGCACCTTTGAACATGCCAGCATAAAGAGAGGTCTCAGGGAGGTGAGGTGGGAGAGCCTGAGTGAGGACACCACAGGGCAGCAGGAACAGGGCATCGCTGAGAGGGGCAGAGCCAGACACACAGCGAGGCCTCAAGGAATCGTGATGAATTCCCTGACTCACTGGGAACTAGAGGTGGCAGAATTTGCTGCAAGCAGAAACTTTATGGAGCAGAATAAAATTGAAAACTCCCCTGCCAAGGATCCAGTGGATCAGGCAGAACATTACTGACAAGGCCTCTTATTTTCTTTTTGATGTATCTTACCTTTTCTATATTTTTTTTCTTGAAATTTGTTCCTCTTATTTATAAGAATAATTTATAAAACCCAGTTTAAAAGACCTTTCCATCCTAAAAAATGCTTATGCAAAAAAAGACTTAAG